AAATTTTAACATTATATAATATTTTTGGTTGGTTATATATATATATATATATATATATATATTAATCCAAAAATATCTAGCAGGTATAATTATTTTCTTGGACAAATTTATGGGGATATGTAGAAGTGTTCAAAAGAGAAGAAAAGAATTTTCAAAGGCTGAGATATTATGTTGATACCCAGAGAGAAGTGTCCTTAGGGGCGGACCCACATGGAGTCATGTGGGGTCAAATGACCTCTCAATTTTTTGGATTTTTTTTCTTTGTTGAAAATGTAATTTTCTATTAAGTTGTTCCTGATGCCAACAGTTAAGTGAGCCAACCCAATTAATTTCCCTAATCCAATGCCCAAAAAGCTAAAATTCTAAATCTATATCCATATCACATGATCCATATCCATTAGTTAGTCCATAGTTATATCATATAATCTATCACTTTCTTCCCAAAGTGCAAACATCGAACACGAATAGCAAACCACCGATTTTTCCTTTTTGTTCATGATACGTTGTTCGAAAAAAATTTCATTTTTGACCCTACAGTTCAAACTGTCTGGGTCCGCCCCTGGGTGTCTTATGAAATTAAAACCTTTCAATCAAGTACTAAATTGATATTTGAAGTTGTATTATTTGAGTGAAAAGAAAATAGATATTAGATAGAGTTGAAGAGAAGGCAGTTTGAGTTCATATGGAAAACTGTCTTACCTGTGTATGTCTTTTGGTTAAGGATTTTTTTGATAGGGAAAATTTTTAGTAGAAGTGGTCGAGTCGTTAAATTGTTAAGTAGGTTATTTGTACTTGCTGAAAACACGATTTAAATTACAAAATTTGCCTCTTTACAAATATAAGTTCAAGTATCTTTGTCATTTATTTGTGAAAATTGTAATGTTGTGAGGTTTTTAACGAAAAATGAATCTGTCATGGACGTGAAGAAGTAGGTTTGTGAATGGAATTTAAACGAATAAGCTTGTCACGTCTCCTACGTCTCAAGTTCTTAAACGAGATAGATCTCAATTTTAATAAGTTCCAGTTACATTCTGTTTCATTTCTTCTAGACGAGTTGTATTTTTCACAATTTTCTTGTCATTTTTGGAGTTCTTAAACAGTGGTGTTGAAACATCAAAACTCAACTTCATTTTTCCTCCACTCATTCCAATCAACCAAAGCAAGCTGCCAAATCCACACCCACCTTCACTTTTATACCAAAACCCAAAAAACACTAAAATCAAGAAAATCCCCCCTCTCCTCCCAACTCACCACCTACTCCTCTCTTCCTCTTCTACATTCCATGGCCAAGAATCTATCTTAAACATTCCCAGCATATCCTCTTCTACACTTTCTCTCTTTCTATTAAGTCATGTCTTCCTCTTTCTGTTTATCTTCCTCAAGAAACAGCACCACCCCAGAAGCTTTATTAGTTCAGAATTCTCATCTCTATCTCCCAAGACGAAGATTATGTGTACTACTTCATAATGAAATCCCACTCAGAAAAGTGAAGCCTCTTTCACTTGTAAGATTAGGAAGTCATGGTTTTGTGCACCCTTCTGCTGCAATATCACCCTTTGCAGAAGCAGAAGGGGAAGGAGTGGAAGATATTGCTCGACCTGATGACGAAAAGTCTGAAAATGAATTGCCTGGAATGGCACAGGCTTTTCACATATCTTCAAGAACAGCTTCTGCAATATCAGTATGCATTGCAGTTGCTGCTTTCTGTTTCCCATTTTTTATGAAATCTTTGGGTATGGGATTGGATTTAAAGACAAAAGCTTTGTCATATGGTACACTTTTGTTCGGATTCTACATGGCCTGGAATATTGGAGCCAATGATGTGGCTAATGCAATGGGAACTTCAGTCGGGTCAGGTGCTTTGACTCTTCGGCAGGCGGTGTTGACGGCGGCAGTTTTGGAATTCTCTGGGGCGTTGCTTATGGGTAGTCATGTTACCAGTACAATGCAGAAGGGAATTCTTGTTGCCAATGTATTTCAAGGGAAGGATACTTTGCTTTTTGCTGGACTGCTATCTTCCTTGGCTGCCGCTGGTACTTGGTTACAGGTGCACTTCAGATTACTCTGTTTCCCGAGTATACAAAAATTTTAATTCCTACTTTCCTAGTCTCGGGAGCAATAATGAAAAGACAATAGAGAAACGAGAAACGTACATAAAGATATATAGTAGTCCACCCTCAACACTCGAAGCTCCAATTTTTTTAAGAAAATGGCTCCCTATAAAAAAAAAAATTTATATACTGGAGGAATGTGTAGTTGATCCTTGTTAAGGAAAAAGTGTATATTACGATTATGCTCCACACAGATCAAATACTTTTTCATAACAATACCAATTCTCATCGTAATTCACAAGGACTTAAAATTTTCGAAGAAGAGAAGATAAACACCTGAGAAAGAAGTTGAACAAGAATAATTTCTTTATTTCTGCTAATGAAATGTTTTTTTTATAATGCAATGGTTTTTTATTATATTTCCCGAGCTCTGCGTTGCTTTCTTCAGCACGTTAGTCCTTGTTCAGAACTATAAACATTGTTATGTTACTGTTTGCAATGTCTCAATTTCAGTTTCAACCGACGGAATTCTCAATTCATAAAGGACAATAAAGATCTAAAACAATAATCTTCATGAAACATTGTAAAATATTCTGAAACTCTACTTTGTAAAAATGTTAACCAGACACTCTTTCCTTTTAGATTCCCTGAGGCAAATACTAGGATTCTATAGCCTGATAACATAAGCTTCTTTATCTATATCAGACCGGCTGACTTCCTTTATCTCGACTCCTCTTTTTCTACACAGGTTGCTTCGTACTATGGTTGGCCAGTCTCGACAACACATTGTATTGTGGGATCAATGGTAGGATTTGGTCTTGTTTATGGGGGAACTGGTGCTGTTTTCTGGAGTTCATTGGCAAGGGTAACTTCATCATGGGTCATCTCACCTGTAATGGGAGCAATGATGTCATTTCTAGTCTATAAGTGCATTCGCAGGGTACGTTCTTATCGAAAAACTACAAAACTAAGGCTGAAGCCTTAATCCCTAAATCCTTCAGTAAAACACTCAATAACAGTTGGGAAGAAAACCATGGCAAAATTATTGAACATCTTCTTTTTCCATTGTAGTCACAGAGCTCTCATTTCTATTTCAGTTTAGACACTGTCTACCTCCATGTGCTAAAATCATTGAAAATGTGAACGTGGCTAAAGCAAAATATAGCATGGCTAGTTCATTGTTCTTATCGTCCAACTTGACAAATGCACATCTTTTCAGATTAGTGCTATTGAGATATCTTTTTTAAAAGTGAAAAAAAAAAAATAAATAAAGAAAGAAAGAAATATAAATACAAAAATGAAAATAGAAAATCTTCTACGCCAACTCCCTGGAGCCTCCCTCCCCCAATTACCTTTGCTATCCTAGCCACTATAATGTTAGCATTTTTGATAATTTAGTAGTCGAAGGTAGACAGAATGCATAAATTGAACGGAATATGAAATTTTAGTAACTAATCTGGAATACGAGAAAGTTCAGTGATCAAAATGGAACAACACTATAAATGAAGTGATTAACAGTCTTTTAAATCCTTGAAAGTTCAATTGCATCGGTACTGTATTCCAAAAGTCTAACCATCTTCACTATTTTCAGTTTGTTTACAGTGCTCCTAACCCGGGACGAGCAGCTGCTGCAGCTGCACCAATCGCAGTTTTTCTTGGCGTCACGGGAATTTCTTTCGCAGCCTTCCCACTAAGCAAGACATTTCCTGTGGCTGTTGCCCAGGCTTTAGCATGCGGCACAGTTGGTGCAATTATAGTCTATAGAATTATACGGAAGCAAGTCGGTCACCTACTCGATAAATCCAATACATGTGAATTGGGGGCAAAGGAGGAGACTAGTTCCAGTAAAAATATTGGATTCCTTTCAGATATAGCTGGCCCTAAAGGCGACCAGCTAGAAATAGTTTATGGAGTTTTCGGCGACATGCAAGTCCTGTCTGCATGTTTTATGTCATTTGCTCATGGAGGAAATGATGTCTCCAATGCAATAGGCCCTTTAGCTGCAGCTTTATCTATTCTTCAAGGTGGATTGAGTGGAAGTGAGATTGTTATTCCTAATGATGTTCTAGCATGGGGCGGTTTTGGGATTGTTGCAGGGCTAGCAATGTGGGGATATAGAGTTATAGCAACAATTGGGAAGAAGATAACAGAGTTGACACCAACCAGAGGATTTGCAGCAGAGTTTGCAGCTGCGTCTGTTGTGCTGGTTGCATCGAAGCTAGGACTCCCCATCTCAGCCACCCATACTCTGGTCGGAGCTGTGATGGGGGTTGGGTTTGCTAGAGGACTTAACAGTGTAAGAGCAGAAACAGTGAGGGAGATTGTCACTTCTTGGGTTGTGACAATTCCAGCTGGTGCCATGTTTGCTGTTATTTACACATGGATCTTGACTAAGCTTTTATCATTCATTCTCTGAGTGCAGATTTGTTTTGCAGTATTGGATAAGACTAGACATTAAAATGAGCAGGATTTTTTAACTTATTGTTCTTTCTTAATACTATTGAGTGCTATCCATTCCACACGAACAAAATATTCTGTTAGTGTACACTAGAAGATCATATCCAAACTTCTTTTTTGATTAGATTGGCTATGTTTTTTCAATGACGGTGACTTATTTGTCACATTTTTTTTGGTGAATCTCGTTACTTCAGACTTCTTCGTTTTTTATTACATCAAAATCCCAGCATTGTCTTAAATTGCAAGTAGATCATTGGACTGGAAACAAGGATGCCAAACACTCATTTATCTGCTTCAACTTAATAGTACACCATATTTCTTATCAGCATCCCCCACCCCCCTTTTTTGCTGAGATACAATTATCACCATTTCATTCATAATTTAATTGGAAAATCTTGAAAGTTACAGATAGGAAACAGAGCAGCACTCAATCCATGCCAATGACTGCCAAAAGTACATGAATAAGGCTCGATAAATTTTCAGGCATTGAGATGAAGAACAGAAAGATCCCGAAAGGAACATAGTATGACTAGAAAGTCAAGATCCAGAATACAATTCTTTTCTTACATCCCTCTTGCCTTCACTTATTCCAACATAAGATGATAGGATCATGTGATTGATCTAGAATTCATGTTTTTGAGCAGATAATTGTTATGAAAATATCTGCAGTTTAGAAAGAAATTTAGCAAATAGATATACCAGTCAATAGAACATAGGCAACTCTTTCAAGGATCTTTTAATCGACTTTTGAAGGCTATACAAAGAACATAACAAGAGTGTAAAATGATCTTGACGATCACTTTCTCAAAGATCTAGTGACCAACTTTTTAAGAGCACGGAGAAATCTACATACCAGAGAATGGTAGTAGTATAAGTACATCTAGAATCTGAAACAGGGATACTCATGGAGATAGCTCCTGTATTGAAGTTAGATTCGGCTCCCAACTGGATTCCTTCCACATTCTTGGCCTCTGTATTGGGGGTACAAATGGCTTCTTCTCTTTCACGTGTTTCTTCAGAAAATGGTTTGACCAACTGTCTTTAGAGATATAGAAGTCTCTAGCAGAACGAAAGGATTCTTCTGAAAAATTATCCCCAACATCTTTAATTTCTTTAAAATCTAAGATAGGCTCATCACTACCAGCTTGTTGATTTACATTCCCTTCCCGTGAGTGTCTGCGTTTCAATTTCTCTACTGTAGTAGATCGGATGATAATATATTTGTTGCCCGGCAATAATATGTCATCAGCATATAAAACAGATTCATGGGGGCGCTTGAAGATACCAGGCCGCGCTATACACATCCCAGGATATCTCCTAATCAATTCAGATGCAGGAATTGCATTTTGATAGAGCTCAATTCTCCCACCAGCATGAACTATCCTTACAGAAGTATTTTTTATATGAGAGCTGAATGAGACTGTTTCCTCTTTCGACTCTTCCTTTCTCCAGGATTCACTGTCTAACACCGAATGAGACCTAAAACAGGAACACATCTCTTCAGCATTGCCGGCAACCAGAATATCCCATTACAGTTGTAAGTATAATGGTCCAACCAAGAAAAAATTGTGAACCGGTGTGGATGAAGAATATAAAACTAACTAAATTTTGCTTTTTTCTTGGCCAGCTTTTTTGGCCCCATCTCAAATGTAACCATTGATAAATCCAAAGTTTTGTAGATAGAAGCATATCTGACAAAAATTGATTCTTCGATTTCTCCTCCATAATATGAAAGACAAAGCTACCCATGATCAAATATAGAAAATCATCTCTCTTTCAAAAAAAACTTGTGAACTAGTTCTAGGTCAGCTTTGTAGACATAGAGCCTGTTTGGGAGTGATTTTGAGAATTGATTTTTTAGACCGTTAGGAAAAAAGTAGGGTCCACTTGTAAGAGAAGAAGTCAAATATGACGGTTGGAATATTAAAATAACAGTCACAAAATCAATTTTTTGGGCCAAAAAATCACTCCCAAATAGGCTGATATTCTTGAGCCAATATCGTACTCCCATAGCCCTGATAACTCTTCCTTCCACTAATCCTGTTGTTATGGAAAATATAACATCCCTTGTTCGTACAGGCTTCTTTTATGTTTATTTCCTCCCACAGACCTTGGCATGCAACATTTGGAAACAGGTATCTATTCAAGAAATATACTTTCAAATTTGTTTCAGGCTTCAAGCATATGCTATTGCCTATATGGCAAGACCCACCTTCCCCACAAATAATGTGTCACAAAAGCTCAGCTGTTCCGAGAGATTGGAATTAACTTCATGCTTCCCTACTTTCTCCAATGCTGCAATGGTTATACCATCCGATGAGCATAATATAAGCCGGTGAATATAGTAGAAGCCAGAATAAAGTCACCAAGGTAAGTTTATCTGTCCTGTGGGCACGAGATCAAAAGATTGAACAGATAAGAAATAAAGATCAGCATACTATTTATAAAAGCATTTTGATGAGGAAAACTGATTAACATGACATAATTGCATCCATGCAGAAAGTACTATTAGCAAAATCTGTCAATTTTCAATCCTTTTCATTTTCTTTTCTTTAGCTATATTACCATTATTATAAAAATAGTTCACTGAACTTAGATTCTTGGAAAGAGTACCGGTTATGTTGTATTCATCTGATTGTGCTAAAAGAACTGCTGAACCAAAAGAACTAAGAAAGGATAATGGATCCTTAAACCAATACACATCAAATCACTACAGAGCGCATTGTATCCAAGCTTTAATAGCTGCAGAGCCACTCTAGACTTGAGTTTAGTTAATTTCTGAAAGTAAATCATTCCAAAATGGCAGTTATTGAAGCTGACGTTTGTTGGAGGATTTGCATACTTGAAAACAGGAAGACCCTAGCATCACATATTGTATTAGAAAAGAATTAATATAAATGTGTACGTGAAACCATGACGCTCTTCGAAAATGTTAAGTGCATGCTTGGTAGGAAGGATTGCATAGCACTGGATAGATCAAGAAAGAAAATGAAGTGAAAATCTTGTTTATATAATGTTGAATCCTAACTATTTTACCCCCTACCGAACATATGCTAATGTCTTCGATGTATGTGCATCTCAAAATAGATTACAGTATTTGGTGTTAATAAGCTTAAGCTGCAATCTATAAATACATAAAAGTTAAATTGTGAAATGCAAGTTACCTACAAAAACTATAAATTTCATGGTCAAGCGCACAGATCAAAAAATTTTGAAGCTGTGGAGATGGCATAGCCTGCACACCCAGCTCATTAGCATATCCTTGTAACTGTATCCAGCAACAGCTAGTACAATGGTCTTATTCTGATTAGCACGCATTGACAGTAGAGATTCTAAGGAAAGTGGAAGCTAAATTGATGTTAACAACTTCAACTGGTCTATTACAGAGCATCCTTTTATCCCGTCAGGTGATTTTACAACATCAACACATTCCAGAATTTCCTCATCTAAGGATGACAAAGAGATGCCATTTTTCCTTAAGCTCGGTGATCTCTTGTATCCCAATGGATAAGCTGTATTTTCATTGTATTTTACAAAAAGATAGTTCCCGCAACACTCGAGAAATCTGAACAGATTAGAATAATTAGCTTCATGCAATGAAAATTATGAAATCAACCCGTAAAGCCTTCCAAGATGGGAATTGCCCAGAAATTTCCAGCTTCTCTTTTCAAAATCAGAAATATTGAAACCTTCAATCGGCTGATGTTGGTCAAGATCATTCAGGTGGAAATTCGAAATGGTCCAACTTGCATCAAGCACAAGCCTAAAGTCGAAGGACAGGGCTTCTGTATCCAATGGCTGTGGAGTCCCTTTCCATACACAAACAGATGTAAGTGTTTCGCGCGGGTAGTCGTTAACAATTAAAAAGGGATCAGACGATTGTGTAAGGAACAAACCTCTTGAAACAAAGTCTCAAAAAGGGGTGTTTTATTGGCGATGACTTTACAATTAGAATTTAAACAGAATGCCTCTAATGGGCACAAGCACACGAGTACTAAAAAGAAATATTTAAATCTAAACTAAGAAATTGAAATTACATATTCTCTGTTTGAGAGTGTTTGATTCGGGGTCTTTTACTCTATGTCTTTTCTTCCTTTTATATTCCCTTGATGATCTCTTCGTGATCAACCGCTTAGAAACTACTTAATTGCTTTATAACTGCCCACTTTCTTCATGGTGGCCAACTTCTCGTGGAACTACTGTCTCTAACTACTGCCACTACTCTTTGTCGTTCAACCGTCTTCAACTGAACTCCTTGAATTGTGAAACGTGATAAGATTGCTCAATAACTGTTTCGATAACTGCACTTTTGGATAACCATAACATCTTATGTTTGCTAAGATCCTGGGCGATTCAAAGGTTTGGACGAGAACAGGGTCATAACTCTGTGCGACTGCAAGGCACTTCATTCGCTCAGATCTTGGGCATCTTACAAGTTTGGGCGATGGTGTTACCGCGTTCGTGGGCTTCCACTGCATTCATTAATAACCCTATTTGGGTTTTTATCCTGAATTGCTCAGTTGGGCTTTATTCTTTGGGCTATTCGATTTGAACTGCACTTTTAGCGTGTCAACAATTACCCCCCAATATGACAGAATTAATACCAATTATTAATTTTTTGCCATATTCATTTTGTACTTCTCAGCAACATTTGAAATTCTCAAGAATTTCAATTATTATTTCCTTCCATAGCCTGAAAAGGCGCGACGTTGCAAACCCTTATAACCCCCAAATACACGCCATTTCATCGCACTACTAAATCACGCCTCATTGTTTCGCGCTTCTCTCTCGCAATATTACTGTTCATCTTCTTGCTTCTCTACTACGTTTCTTAAGCAAATTTCAACAAAACTTTATTTCGTTCCTAATGGCTACTTCACAATCCCAATCTGGTGACTCTTTCAGTTTCGAAGACTTCCAGAAAATCCTCACTTGGCCATATATAACTCTGAACTTCCTTGCACCAACCAATGCCGAACTCAATGAGTTCTATCTAGGTCCTCATTCAACAATGCCGAGGCCGTCGAACAAGTGGCGGTGCGCCAGCTGTTCCCTTGTACTCAAAGCCCTCCGTTTCTAAACTCTTTGCCGCAGAGGTTGCTTCGCAAAAGAGGTATTCACATTTGGCCTAAATCTGATGTTGTTTTCCGTAGATGGCATGCTCGCCTTGTGGGCCATGGTCCTACCAATGCAATTTTTGATAGTGCTAGGATTTCTGATTTATTAGAAATCTCTCTTCAACCCCCTATTTTTGATCCAGCGTTTTTCCCTATTACTTTAAGTTTTTGGTCCTCTGAGTATAATACTTTTGTTTTCCCTCTTGGTCCCATGTCCATTACTTTAAAGGATGTTGGGGCCTTAGTAAATCTGCCACCTTTGGGCGATACCATTTTCCCTAGTATTTTGATTTCTGGTGTCGCCCCAAAATTTGACAGAAAACTTAACGAGTCATATTCAAGCCTGCAAAGCTGTTATAATCACTCGAGCACTGAGCCTTCCCATGCTGAGCGTGTGGCCTTTTTTCAGATTTAGCTTTGTAAATATATTCTGTGTGTGCCAAGCATGAAGCCTTCTATGAGCTATTTACCCATAGCGTACGAATTAGCGCGTGGTGGGCCTCTGAATTTGTATTCTTTCTTTTTGGCTGCCCTCTATAGAGTCATGGCTTCTCTCCAATTCCAATTGAAGAATGGTGCATCTCCCACTGGTAGTGGGCCTCTTTGGTTCACTCAAATGTGGTTGAGAGTCTATTTTCCATCACTTGGTGCTCTATCCTTTTTCCTTTATTCTGCTAGCTGCTATGGGCTAGCTATTGACCCACTGAGCTCTGTAAATATGTCCAGAAGGGATATCTTTTCATTCTTTTATACTTTGAATTCAATTCCTTCTTTTTTTCCTTTTCCTCCCTTTTTAATTTCAGATTATGTGCAACCCCCATCCACCCTGGACAACGGGAGCACCTCTCTGATCTTTTGGGTTCAATTTTTAACCGGGAGGGAGTTGTTCCATGATATTTTGACTGGAACTAATGCCAAAGCTGGGGTTGAAATATATGCTCCCCAATTTTTTGCTCGTCAACTTAGTTTTGGCCAAACTTGGCCTGCTCTCCCTTGTTATTCAAGAAATTTGATAGATCACTTCCACACCATTAATAAGACAGAGGCAAAAGTTATAGATGCTCGCAATATTCTTTTGACGAGTAACTTTTCATTAGCCCTCTTCAATCTTAGCTATGTCATCCATCCCCTTTTTGAACAATTCTGGTCATCAGTGAAATGCAAATTGTTTACAACTGATGCCAATCGTGCTTTCCATTCACTGGATCAGCCAAACATTTCTTTCACTTCTCCTATTTTGGTCACCCCTGTGTCCATTAGGAGTCCTTCCTCCCCTGTTCGAACTAAACAGTCTATTCGTCCATCTACTTCTCTTCCTGTTAAGCCCACTGCAGCTAAGAGTGCCCCAATCCGCAAACGGCTAGCCTCAACATCTCCATTGTAACTTCGTATTAACTTTTCCATTGTAACCTCGTACTGATGTCCATTGGTAATTCTAAACGTACCAGCAGCCATTATCATTAATGAACGATTAATTTGTCTTCTTGTGTATTTATTGACGTTGTCTTTAATCGTCAACCCCCAAGCATTTAACTGCTTTATGCTAAGATTCACGCACATTTTCTCTTGGTATTTCTGTCTTTTTTTCCAAGACTTCGGGCCATTTGATTCCCGTTACTAGGCACGAATGTAGCTGTTCATATTCTGTCTCTTCACCTTCACGCCCCTATAAATGCACTTATATTCCACACTTGTCATTTTCATTTCCATTCCATTCTTCAAAACCAATTTGCTGCAATTGTTTGATATTTTGACAATCGATCCAAAACCTTTGTTTTCCATGAAAATAGATCATTTGATCCGCCCATTTTGCCATCTTTTTGATGTCACCTTTGGTATGGGAGATATAGGAAATATTTTTTGGCCAACAAAATTCTTCCCATCGTCTCCATATTCCTTACAAAGAGTTCGATGATGGAAGACAATTTTTAAGGATGCCTGCAAGCCACCTTATTTGCTGAGAGTGCTTCTCAGCCTCCTTGCCGTTATTGCAGCAATGCATTTAGGAAGGCGATGTGAGGGTGCTTCTTCTTCCTTTCTGCTTGCTGGGAGTGCTTCTCGGTCTCTCTGCTTGCCTTTGCAGCAGTGCGATTAGGATGGCAATTAAGGCCAGTTCACCCTCTTACTCGGTGATTGATCGGGAGATTTGTTCGCTCTTAATTGTAGCTTATAGAGCATTTAGTATTTTGTATTTTGCAACTTTGTAATGAATGTTTGATAATAAAGGAATTTATTTGAACGTATTTTGCTCTGGCCCTTTTTTATCTA